AATATATCGTAATATATCGTATAGTCTCCCCTGTATCGTGATACGTATCGTATCGCCAGAATTTCACCAATACATATCCCTACTAACAAGTCAATCCTTTTGTGAGGTAAGCTAAGTTAGGGATGGGTACCGAATTCAGTACTTTTTAAGGTACCGACCGAATTCCATAGTACCGACCAAGCACTGATTCACGTCATTTCAAACGGTGCCTCGTTTCGGTACCCGTCCATCATAACGAGAACTTGCCAAGACAGCTGCGCATGCGCAAGAGTGTTATGTCGTTGCTCGCTGCGAACCAGTTGTAAACAGAGCAGCATGGTAGAAAGAACGCACGCTAAAGCTTGGGTCCACTTCACTAAATGTGATGGGTAACTGGGCGATGACGAAACCAGCGACAACGATCTAAGTGAGACATCCTCATCTTAATCTGCTCCGGTAGGTAAATATAATTAGCTTGATATGTTAGCTTCCGTTTCGCTAATGGTGCGTTTGCTTTCTCCTTGGAACTCCGAATTCCCGACTAGAAGAACATGAACGCGCTCTAAAGTTTGGCTTCACTTTACTAAATGCGACGGGTGATTGGGTGAAGACGAAACCAGTGACAATGATCTGTGTGAGGCATCATCGTTTTAATCTGCTCCAGCAGCTAAAAAAACTGTTTAAGATAACGTTAGCTTGGTATGTTAGCTTCCATTGCTGCCATTGTTATCAGCTAATGGTGCATTCGCTTTCTCCTCGGAAATTCTAACTTCCCAGTAGGAAAAATCAAATGAAAAAGGACGGCAAAAGGAATGAAGATACACAGTAAATTTAGTTCACAGTAAAGATGTTTGCTTCAGTTTAATTATCAGCTTATAAACTACAAGGACGATGTTAAAATTCAAACAGTTGAATGTTATTTATCGTGATATTTATCAAATATGGTTATAAATTGAGAAAAATATATATTTAATTATAAAAGAAAATTAAAATAATAAACACTCAAAAGTATCGAAAATTGGTACCATTAAGTACCGGTATCGATTCGTAGGTACCGGGAATTAGTACCGGATCGATTCAAATGTCAAAGGTACCCATCCCTAGTAAGCTTAGATCATGCTGTGTTGATGAATGATAGTTAGTTGTTTTGATCAGGTTATAAAAATGGGGTTATGTTCAAATGGGGTTGAGTTCAGCCTCTCATGTGACTGACTCTCAGCTACGGCCACATCAAATTTTAGCTCACTATTCTGTTAATGGTAATGAGCTGTGGCAGCCAACTTCACCGTGGTTTACTTAAGCATTAACCAGTAGTAGACATGTGAGTAATGACAGTTTTGTAAAAGCCAGCTGAGAGTGGGGTTATGAGATACAAACAAGCTAGTCTACATACATAAGCATCCCCAACTTTTCTCTTTTGGCAGGTGATAAAAAAAAATAGAACATGAAAATTGCGTATGTTTACAAAATGAAAGCCTGAGTTTGGAGTGCATGCTGGCCCAGTGCCTGTTTTCATTCAGCATGGAGATCATGGGAGACGCAGTCATGGGAGTCTGATAGCTGAGTCACCCACGGCCTTACAGAGTTCCCTCTCAGTCTCTGCTTTAGATAATTTGGTAGAGTACAACTTGGCAGAGGCAGGAAGTTCTGTTCTTTTTTCTTCTTAAGGGAGAACGTGAAGCGTGGGTTATGTAATGTGTTTCCTAAATTTTCCTCCAATTTCAGACCTCCTACTGATCTAATTTGATGTTTTGGTGATATAAGCATCATGAGGAACCCCTGATGTTTCACATTTCCTCACCAACTACGATCAAAAGCTTTAAAAACTAACTGAGACACACAAAATATCAGGAAGTCACCTATAAAAATAACACGTGATGTGTTGTAAAAACCACTGAGCAAGAAATGAAAATACACCTCATTTGTTTCATCGGAAGGAAGTGGCGTGCAGTCCGGCGCTGGTTTAAAACTACAACCCAAATATCCTGCCCTGTGCCACCCCTCCTGTGTTTTTCAGACACTGTCTGACTTCATAACCTGCTGCAGGATGGAAAAAAGCTGAGGCGGAGCAAAGGCTCAGAGGTTTAACTCAAACAAGAACAAGTAAGATGAATTATTCATCCATTCAGCCAATCGTGTGGAACGGACCTGCACACAAGAGCAAGCCCTAGTGGGGCTGAAACCACAAGTGTGGTTAGTCAGCGACCTGAAAAAGAAACGACTGCATCGACAGATGTGAAAATGTGAAGACTGTAAATGATATAATAATTATAATACATGAGTATCAAAGCTCAGCTGCACAGTAGAGTTTAATTTTTAATTTCAAGCACAAAATGCTTAGTCATAATGAAGAGTGTGGCAGCAAACCACTGAGTAATCAGGACAATAATTCACCACATCTGAACCTATGGACACTAAAAGTTTTATTAATTGAAGATTTTACCAAAACATGCAGAAACAAACTACTAAACACTGATTGTGTGTTTAACCCATTCAAGTCTGCAAATCTCTCTTTTTTTAGGGGTTCTAATTATAGATAGATTGTTTCATCGGGCCAAAAAAACCCTCATTTTATATTTTGCATCAATCATCAATCAAACTTTATTTGTATAGCACATTTATACAAAAGAAAATGCAGTTCAAAGTGGTTAACAGATTAGAATGACCCCATATAACCCATATTCCCATACCTTCCTCACAAATATAAGAACAATTGTGACAGTTGCACCCCCGTCCCACAACCCATTTGCCAGGCACACACACCAACACACACCGACACACACCGACACACACACACACACACACACACACACACACACACACACACACACACACACACACACACACACACACACACCGACACATACACACACAAAACCCAAAAAAACAGCTTAAGCAAACACTAGGCTGAGTTCAGATGAGTTAGGTAATGAATGACACGCCATCAGGTGAGCCATCTGCCTCTGCATCAGCTGATATTTCTCTTTACTTGAGTCAATTTTAAGTCAGGCACATCCGTGGATATCCAGCCTCAGAAATAAGGGGTCTGTAGTGGATATTGGGGATGTACGTTGGTGAAATTCTGGCGATACGATAAGCACCACAATACAGGGGAGATCATACAATATATCACAATATATTGCGATACATTCAGCCAGACGGTATTAGCTTCTTTTTTTTTTATAAAAAAAAAAGAAATTATTGTAGGAAAATTCAATAAACAGTCCAAACTGATAAGTAACATGTTTAACATGAGGTATTTGCATTTCAGTGGTGGAAACAAAACACATTGCTCACTGGTGCCAACTAGCAGCCGGCGTAATTGCACCAAAAGAAAAGAAAATACACAAATGTTTGCATGAAAATTCTTCCAAATATTTGATACATGACTTTTGAATATCGTTATAATATTGCAGGAAATAATATTGCGATATATTGCCATCTCGATATTTTCCTACATCCCTAATTGCAATAATGCTGCTGCTGCGTCAGGCGCACTAAAAAGTTGAGGTTGTAGTTTTACATGAAGATGTTCCTGAGAAAAACTGGTAAAAAGTAGAAATGATTGAAAGCACTAGAAGTTGCTGGTGTGTTTTCAGCACCCCTTTTATTTTGTTTTAATATATTTAACTTTTAAAAGTATTTTTCAGTTTGATGTTTTATTTATCCTCTAAAGTTGTGTTGATTTTATTTGTTCCTGAAAAGACATCAGCTTAATAAATGCTCTCAATTATTATTGTCAATTGATGTTTCTTTATGATTACCCGTTTTGTATATTTAATACTCGATCAGACTGTTTATTTGTTTGATTAGGCGTAGTTAAACAACAGGGGTGGTTCTAGAAGGGGTCCAGGGTGGGCCTGTGGCAACAAGCTAGGACCCCACTGCCCCTTCCCCTTGAGGGCGGAGCCTAAGCAATAATAAGTACTGATTTATTTTATAATTTAGCCTAATGCTAGATGTGGATCCACAGCATATGAATTTATTAATATAAAGATGGAAAGAGATGCTGATATAAACATGTTGTTACTGATATAGATAACTGGAATAAACACATTTTTGGAAAGTAGTTACATTTTGAAGCTTAATTAATGTTGCTGTATCTAAAGCAATTGGACCAGAATTTTTTTAATTGTTGTAATTACACAAAAAAACTATTTAAAAGCAATGTTTGTTCAGAGTAGCAAATTAAGAGTTCAAAACCTGATTAGGTTCAGAAATGTTGTGCATCCACTGTTATTAGTAACATTTACGCGTGCAGATAAGATGAAAACCTATCAGCCGTGGAATTTTTTTAAAAATCTTCAGCATCCTATTGGCCATCAGCCAAACATGAACTCTCTGTATCAGAATCGGCAATAAAAAAACACTCTGGTTGATTTCTAGTTCTAACAGACATTAATTCAAATCAACAAATAAATAAAGGCACAAAATGCTACAAAACCAGATGCTACAATTTTCTAAGAAAAGAAAAAGGGAGAACAACTATTTGGTTCTGTGATGGACTTAGTCCCTTAAATTAAGGGTCTGACAGCCAAAACCTCCATGCTCAAACACCAAGTTCATTAAATATGAGAGTTAAAATGTGTACCGGTTACTAGTTAATACTATGGCATTACTAACCCACATGTTGCAATGGCTTTCATACTAAATGGGGATGGAACCGACTAAACGGTTGCCCTCGAACCTTTCGTTCCACGACATCCTTTACAGTTTCTTGTGAAACTGCACAATAAAATATCTTGGTTAAAAGATTCAAGGAAATTTAGTGCAACGCATGGCTCAGTAATTCACAAAATAGCTTCAGTGTGGGGCAGAAACTGCTCTGCCATCTTTACTTGCCACTCAGTATTTGCAGCATTGCGCTGTTTAGCTTTACTTGACAAGTTTAATCTTCTTTAGACAAGGTGGGAATCAGGGCTTCCACACTCCTGGAACCTTTTCCAAACACAAGCCACTGCTGCCAGATATTGTATAGAGAAGCATAACAGATGCTAGAGCTGCTACAGAATGATACTTAC